GTTTTATTGCAATCATGTTTTCTTCATCTCTATGTGTGTTTGCTTTGATCATGTCTGAGTAATCCACTAGTTAGGTTGCTAGGGTTACTATTCAATGAGTTGCTTGCATGATCTTTGATTTCGATGATTAGCTAGGGATTATATTAGAGTCTTTGTCTCGTCTTGTGCACTTAACTAATGCTGATTGCTTTACCGCGCATCTAGTAATCCGATCTTAGGTTGATTTGAGCCTCGACAGTGTTGTATCATTCGCCGGACATATTCTTTGACAAGCTAGGTTTCTTAGACTGCGAAAGTTGATCTACTATAATCTAGTGAACTGTATCAGAACCTATTCATTCTAATGCTTGATTTAATCACCTAGGGACATACCAAAAGTTTAGCGACTAGGTAGATTAACAAAGGAGCCGGAGCCTCGAAAGTGGAATGGTTTTATATTCGTGATCTGTGTTCTAGACGGTTCTTAATATCCCAATATCCCTAATCAATTCATCTATCATTGTTTCATTGATCATTGCTTGCTTCTCTGCGATAGCCCCTATGACCTAGCGCTTTTCCTTTATTGTTTACAACCTCGTTATACTTGCTAGTTCGGTTCACCATTACAACCTCAATCATACTTTTGTTTTAGCTTGATCCAAAATCCATAGTTTCAAAGTGTACTCAATAGCCAGTCCTTGTGTTCGATACCCATACTTCCGCGATCTGTGCACTTGCAGAGGTCTAGGAGTTTGGTAAAACCTGACTCCGCATCAAGTTTTTGGCGCCGTTGCCGGGGACTGCAGCAGTACCTTTGGAACTCGACTAGGATCTAGTCTAGAACCTTTTCCTGTTTTACTTTTCTTTTGCTTTTGAATTTTTAGTTTTTGATTTCCTTTTCTTTGATTTTTACTTTTGTTTTTGTTTTTCCCTTTAGTTTAACTTTTCAGGTGCATGACTAGGAGGTCCAACAAGGACAACCTAGTTGAACATCCAGAGATAGACAAGCTTGAGAAGCAACTTAGGAAGCAAAAGCCCAAGAGATGGCCGACGAAGCAGCTCGCGCTCACGCCGCTGAAGTGGCGCGCGCTCAAGAAGAAGGAAGAGATCCACCTCCTCCTCCTCCTAATCCACAAGACCCTGCTGGAGATGTGAAGACTATGACTCTGCCGATGCTTTCTTCATGGATAGAAACCCTATCCATCCACCACCACCTGCAAGGAATGACTATGAGATCAAGCCTCAGATCATTGCATTGGTTAGACAGAACCAATTCAATGGACTTCCAGCTGAGCACCCTCTTGATCACATAGAAAACTTTGAAGAAATTTGCAGCACTACAAGATCCAATGGAGTCTCTGCTGACTACCTTAAGTGCAAGCTCTTTTCATTCTCTCTTGGCGACAAAGCTTCAAGATGGTTGAAGTCTCTGCCAGCTCACTCCATCACCACTTGGGATGAGTACAAGGCTGCATTCATCAACCACTTCTACACCAACAAGATCAATTTCTGTGAGAAACAAGATCTCCACTTTCGCCAAGGCAACAATGAATCTTTCTATGAGGCGCTAGATCGATTCAAGGAGTACATTAGGGACTGCCCTAATCATGGTTTCAATGAGGGAAACCTATGGAACATCTTCTATCGTGGCATAGACCACAAGTACAAGCTTTCATTGGATACAGCAAGCAATGGAAACTTCATGACCAAGACTGTTGATGAAGCTAAGGTTCTTATTGAGAATCTTGCAGCTAGTGATTGTAACAACTGTCCTGATTATGACCGCTCAAGCCGCACCACTACTAGCTCCCCTGATTCTTTTCAAATGACTGAACTCAAGAACATGATGGCTCAAGTTCTTAAGGGACAGCTCAAGCATATCAATGCAATAGAAGGGATGAGTGATGCTAATGAAGATTCATCAAGAGAATGCATGGGAGATTTCTCTAATGAAGCCAATGAAGAAGATGTGAACTACATTGGAAACTATGGGAACAAGGGATACAATCCAAGCTATCGCCCAAACCCCAACATGTCCTATAGAAACCCCAATGTGGAGAATCCTCAAGACCAAGTGTATCCTCCAAGGTATCCACAACAACAAAGACCTCCTTACCAATCTCAAGGAAGTCAATTTCAGCCAAGGCAAGGATATGAGCAGAGATCATCATATCCGCCCAAGGAGCCATATGCTTCTTCACCAAATCAAGCTCCTCCAAACCAACAAGGTGGGAGATTTGAAGGAATCCTCCAACAGATCATGGATGGCCAGAAGAGAAACACTAAAGAGATGTATGAGAAGATGGACACTTTGTTCAGCAATCTCAACACCAAGTATGATGCTGTTGCCACTCATGTGAAGAAACTAGAGACTCAAGTCACTCAAACTATGGAAGCTGTTAAGAGACAGGAAGCTGAATCCAAGAAGTCCTTTTGCAACTCAGCCGCCATAGAAGAAAGATTTGAAGACCAAGTTCCAGAATGGATGCTTTCAAAACCTACTGTTGATTGCATGATTTGGCCTGAAGAGAATTACCCAGAGAGAGAGTCCAATCGAGCTAGAAAGAGAAGACTCTTCCCAAAGATTATCCCCAAGACAGATAACTCAGGAAAGTTTGTTGTGCCTTGTATCATCAAAGGTAACATTCTTGAGCAATCTTTGTGTGACACAGGAGCCAATGTGAACATCATGTCTAAGAGGATAGCTGACAAGATAGGCCTCACCAAGATAGAGCCATCATCCATCTCCATCAACTATGCTGATTCATTCTCACAAACACCCTATGGCTTTGTGCCTAATGTGATGGTGCAGATTGGAAATTGCTCTATCCCTACTGATTTCCAGATTGTGGAAATGAGAGAGAGTAGCCATAGACCTCTCATATTTGGAACCCCTTTCCTGTCTACTGTGGGTGCCATATTTGATTTCCCCAATCAAAGAATCTCTTTCAACAAGGTGAACAAGGGTATGTTCTTCCCTATGTGTTCAACAAAGAACTCTTTTGTTGACATGGTCCAAGAGGAGAAAGCTACTTTGAAGCCACCCCAAGAAGGAGAAACTGAAGAAACAATCAAGGAAGATCCCATTCCTAAGCCCAAGCAGCTTGCCAAACAAGCAAGGAGTAAGACTAAGGCCCCTACACCAAAACCGCCCAAGGGATCAACCAAGATTGAAGATGAGGCCAAGCCAAGAAGGAAGGTTAGAAAACCTAGGTCTGGCCGCAACATGAAGCTTCTATTCCCAGAGGAGCTTATTGATGAGAATCTAGAAGGATTCAAGGAGAGAGTGACAAGAACTCTAAAGCTTTTTCCTAAGGCAGTAGTGCCAAGGGACATTCATGGAGAGATTGTCTATCCAGCTGTGAATCACCCACCAGATACTCATTGCAAGGAGAAAAGACTTGGAGGATCAAGATGCCTCTTGTCTCTATCTTCTCCTGAGCGCCAAGCCTTACAGTCAAGCTAAAGACTTAAAACAAGCGCTGCATGGGAGGCAACCCATGAGGTACTTTTACTTTTCTTTCTTTAATTTTCTTAGTTTTTGTTTTGCTTTTGTGTTTTCTTTGTTTTAAGATAGGATAGAAGGAGAAAAAGGTGTGAAAACACAATCCGCGCCAAAACATTGGCCGCGGACGCGCAAAAGAATTTTGGCCGAGCAATTCCAATTCTGGCCGACCGTTACGGTCGAGCCGGGAAGGAATAGCCGTGCTCGGCCGGATCTACTTGCGCGACAGAAAACGTTCGCGCGACACGCACGAACCGGGAAAGAAGCCGCGATCGGCCGAAATTTTCGTATCGGAACGGACCGACCGTGCCGGTCGATCCGGGAAACAAACTCGGCCTCGGCCGAAATCTCTCGGCCAAAACGAATTTGGCCGACCAAATCGCTCGACCGCGACAAAATCCATCGGCCATCGGCCCAAAACTTTTCTAGGCCAAGGTAAGTCCCCTTTTCATTAAATTCAAACCGGTTTTAACCAATCTAAACCAACTTAAACCGGTTTTCAATCAAAATTCGAATTTGAAAAGGAAAATTGATAGGATTTAGATCTTATTTACTTCACCTTTCCCTTGAAAACCACAAGAACCTCTCTTTCTTCTCCAAAACCCTAAACTCCATTAGAGGAACTCTAAGAGTTTTGATTTCAAAACTTTTACTGTTCATAACTCTAAATTGGAATTTACTTGCTCTTGCAACCTTATTCACTTTTCAACACACAAGGTATGTCTTCTAACTCTAATCCTATGTTTATGCAAGATCGAAAATCTTCAATAAGTTTCATGTTTGGTCTAAACTCTTGTCTAGACTTGAAATTAGCATCCTTATAGTCTTGTAATGAACTTTGCTAGGTGGAACCTAGGTGGTTTAGAGTTAATTTGAAGTTTAATTTCACAATTGAATAGTTTTTCACAAAACTTATTGGGCATTCCAAACCCCTTATTCAAAGGTGAAATTGCTTAGGCATACTTCAATTCATTAGTTTATCTAGTGATTACTTGGATTAGAAACTCAATTTCTCTTGATTTGCTGAAAATTTTGATTTTAAGCACCATAATCTTGGGATGAACAGTAAAATCCGAAAATTAATTTTGAAAAAGTGAAATTTCTATTTTGTCTCTTTGATTCATGATTAAGCCTTGAGTTGTTCCTTTATTCCATATCATTATTGCAACTCAATTAGCTTATTCTTCTTTTGCATTAATCACAAACTCATATTTCTTCCCAAGAATTTGCTCTTGTAGGTACACCAATGGCAAAGACAAAAGGAAATGAGAGTATGAAGAAGAAGAAGAACCCATTCATGGAACCACCAAAGAAGCAAATCAAGCTAGGGAGTAGTAGCTCCAATGCAAGAGCAGCAATACCAACTTCACCACATTCCATTGATGCAATCAAGAACATGTGGAGAGTCCAAGAAGAGGAGAAGATGATTGGGCACTTGTAACCTTTGTTGGAGAACAAAATCAAGACCCAAGAAAGTGTAAGAAGGCAATGGAGAAGGTGAACATCGAGCCATGTGTGAAGATGGACACCCAAACCCTTGATCTTCTCAAGATAAGAGATGATGTCACATGGTACATAAGGAAGCTAGGCTTGAGCAAGCTCTTCAAGCTAGAATGTAGTGAGTACTCACAACTCACCAAGGAGTTCCTCTCTACAGTAGCTCTTGCCTTTCCCAACCACAATGGAGACCAACCAGCTGGTGAATGGACTCCTACTCTTCAAGATAGGCGATGCCAATGGGCGCATATCCATCTCAGCTCTATGCCAACTCTTTGGACTTCCCAATGAGACAGCACATGACTTCAAGGAGAACTCAAAGAGGAAACAAGCTGCCTTTGCTGATTGGACACACTTTGCCAATGAACCATTCTTGCCTTCAAGGTCAAAGGTGTCTAGAATCACTCATCCAGCCATTCGCTATGTGCACCGCCTCATCTCCACCACTTTCCAATGCAAACAAGAAGCCAACAAGGTCACAACTGATGAGTTCTACATCCTCACCACACCATTCATCAAGCATGAGTACAAGGCCAACCTTGGACTTTTACTTGCCAAGACATTCATCAATGTGAGGAAGCTAGCTAAAGACTTGGAAGGCAACAAGAAGCTTTGTGTTCGTTTTGGGAGGCTTATCACGGCCATAGTACTGCATGTGGGGATTGACATTCCCAACTATGAGCCACTACCCAAGCCAACCCCTTTGGATCTCCATGCTCTTCAGCACATCCACTTCCTAAACCGTTGGACTAAAGACCCAACTCGGTTTTGCTATGAGTTTCCAATTGGTCCAGCCAACACTTCCCTTGTCTTGCTGCCACATGAGGACATCCCAAGCCTACGCTCAGGAGTTGTCACTTTCCAGCCCAATGAGGAAGATTCTATGTTCCATCAAGTGAGAAACCATCATTCCCCATGCTCACCTATCGCACACTTCAGCATGCAGTCAAGACTCAACGCCGCATCCAAGAACGCCATGTTCTCACTACTGGCATGGCTGCGCACCAAGGCTCTAGACCGTGTTAACAAGCTGGAGAAGATAGTGGAATGCCAATCTCGCTTCATCTCGCGCCTAGTCCGCGTAGTTCGCCACATTGCACCGGAGAGACTCTTTCGCCCTTCTTCCACCGCTAGAGAGCCATATGAGCCTGACCTTGGTGAGTTCTCACTAGACTCAGAGCTTGGTTCAGAAGGCGATGACCCCATAGATGAGGAAGAGAGTTCTTCTCACTGCCACACATAGTCATCTCAAGTGGTACTTAGTGCAATGGACACTTACAAATCTCCATTTTCTATCCCTATCTTATTTTAATGAATTTTTCTTTATTTTTCTTTTACTTTGAATATTACCTCTCACCTTAATGTGATTTGCTTTCACCGGGACGGTGCAAGTTAAGTCTGGGGGGAGTTTTATTGTGTTACTAATGCATTTTTCTTTCTTTTCTTATGTTTTATTCACTTTGTTTCATGTTTTTCAAAAAGTTTTATTGAGTCAAAAACCAGTCCGGAAGTTATGAACTTGCTTTGAGAATTGAGAGTGTTATGCTAACAATCCATGACCCTAGAGCAGAAACCAGCTAAAGGCACAAGCCTAACAGAAGCTCTTACAGTGGATCGACATGCTAGCTCAGCAAAATTTCTAAGGTAACCAAGCAATCTAGAGTTAACCTCACACTTAATCAATCTTAATACTCTTGTCAAGGGGGTTGGCATACATGTCGACAGTTCCTTGCTTGATTTTCAAAAGATTTGTCTAATCTTTAAAGAGTTCTCCTCTCTCTCCCATCCCAAATGGTAAGTAATGTTATGAGAAAAAGCTCAAAGAGCACAAGGAAACAAGTAAGCATGAGGAATGCATATGTCTGTACCTTCATGTCTTATGGAATACCTTAGTCAAACAAGGAACAAGCTAAAGACTTATCCTGTGGTTGAAAGAAGGGTCAATAGAAAAAATAAAATGATACCCTAGAAAAGTAGGGAGAAATTGACCTTTCAAAGTTCTGATGTGAGAAAGAGAGAGGAAAAGAACTCATTGCACTTAAAGAGGCAATCTTGGAGAGATCAAGTGGGTAAGAACAAGTTCAATTGATCGATGTCCCCTTGATAAAGAATTCACGCTTTAAATTTATGCAAGAGGTTAGCAATAGAGAGTTTGGATTGCTGGATGAGACTAGTTGGGTTGGTATTGTTCGCTAAACTTGCAGGGTGTATGTGAAGCTAACCTTATGTTGTCTATGTTCTTAGTGGAATACAGGAAAGGAACCTTTCACAGGATATTCAAAAGAGCAAGGGAGTTCCACGTTTTCAAACCTCTTTCACGGATTTAGATTCTTTTTGCTTGGGGACAAGCAAAGATCTAAGTCTGGGGGAGTTGATATACCTCTATTTTACACTTTTTATACTGTTTTAGCATTGTTTTCTAATGGTTTTTGGCAGGTTTTCTATCTAAAAAGGTAGTTTTACTGTGTTTATAGTGTCTAGAGTCTAAACAGGTGAAATGATGCATTTTGGAGCAAAACCATAGGATTTGCACTTCAAGCCGCTCCATGCACAAGCATCAACTTTAAGAGGGCCCAGAAAAAGATCTACTCAATGGATTTCATCAAGACCAGTTCCCTGCGTGCTCTGATTGAGTTAACTTTCCAACGCAACTGGAATGGCCTCATTTGGATGAGTAGAAAAGGAGTTAAACCAAAAGAGTGAAGACTGCTCCAGACAGCTCTACCGAGAATCAGCGCCCAACCG